TGTTTTAAGATCATATTTTGAATAGATATGAACTCATTTCCTACTAAGCAAGCAATCTACTATTGTTGATAGCTGTTTACCAGTTCTATGAGTCAGATATTAGCGACCAGCAGAGGTTCTCTTAAATCCTCTGAGTATTCTTTAAACTGTGTACATAGCGTTTTCCTTAAATAATATGTTAAGAGAAGTAAAAACGCAGTCTTTTCCTGCCTCTTTGTAAGTCATAGTCCACAAAGTCTTGTACTCAGGAATATTGTTTAATGCATATATCTTTTAAGAGTTATTTCCTTCATCGTCATAAGTTAAAGGACAAGATATTAGGCTTAGCAAGAATTTAAATAACAAAAACTATTAAGAAATTCTCAATATATCAATATTTATGTGGCATTTAAATACTAGAAGTAAAAAATTCAGTGTCCTTATTTAGATTAAACCAATTGTGATTGATTTAGTATCCTTAAAAATGTGTACAATGCCATAAATAAATAAATAAATAAATAAGCAGATAAAAACACAGCGATAGAGATCGTTGAATTGACCTTGGGTTCACGGGTTTTAAATTCAACTTTTCCAATATCCCAGTCCCAATTTCCAAGCAGCATGTTTTAAGCTGGTTATGTAGATCAGTCCTTAAAGCAAAAAAATAGCAATTTATCTGGCTTGTATGTTGTGGATAGTGTTGCCACTAAAAAGAATCCAGGACATTTTTCCTTCTTATCTGCAATGTAGCTCATATCAGCCAACCTGTCACAAGATAGTACTTGATATAAACAAGAGATTGCAAAGACATCTCAGTAATCAATATCAGGATGGCTACAGTATGGAAACCCCAACCAGTGCATATCATTTGTCTCAGCATCTATTTCTTTGGCCAAATGAAGCATTAATTCAAATCATAAATCTATGGTGATTTAAATCTGGGAATGAGCACCTGCCTGCTTTAATGATTTATTTTGTACATTTCAGTAAGCAGGAGATTTGTCTATATGAACTGACAGGTCACCTTCAGATGCCAGGAGCAGACTGTTTATCACCATGCAGACTAGCATCTCATCTTAGCAAGTAAATATTAAACTAAAAGAATTCAATTGATTGTGGATGAGGGAGAATGGCGACACGGCCATATATTTTACTCAGCATGCGGAAGCCTCACTCAGATCTATCCTAAGGTCCTCACTTCTTCCTACGTGTTCGTTCTGTTGGAAAGATGTGAGCTCAAGGTGACCATGTAGAATTGGGATATAAAATAATTATTTGTCAGTGTCAGAGGTTGTTTTAAACACCTCTTTCTGGCTAATTTTTTGTATGATTCATATTACAAGCGGGAGAGAGTCAGCTATAATAAAATAACCCCTAATCTTACCAAGCAAAATTAAAACAAACCCACCAAAAGTGAAATCTATTTTCTGGTGCAATAAGGGTTCATTTACAACCAAGGCCAAAACTGTGTTCCTAAAAGTCAAAGGCTTAAACTATTTAGTAGACCTTGTGAGCTAGATATATATAGGAGCCTTGAACTGACTTCCAAAAACATGAGCAAGGCTAAGAAGCAATAATGCATCATTTAAGTAGCACCTCTCTGAGGGTTTCTACTACTTCAAAGAGCCAAGTGTTAGATTCGTGAGAGCTGTAAGTTTGTGTTCTGAAATACAGGCCTCTGAGACTCTTTGGATTACTTATAGAATTCAGATGCTTCAAGACTGTTTTTCTAAGCTTCTCAAGCTCCCTAGAGCTCCTGAAAGACCCAGTCCATCCTGTGAGGAGTGTGTATTGATGCAGTCATCTTATCCATCCACTGTTTGTCCCTGGAGTGCAGGGACTGTACTACGACTATGATTGTGTTCCTAGAATGATTTAAAATTAAATGTACAACAAAATCCAAGGAAACAACATCTTACCAAAAAATTCCTCACAGGCCTACAGCTTAGTGAAGAAGATTTGGTATAGACACAAGAAAACGGAAGCAAAAAACGGTTGTAGAAAAAAGAGGAAAAAGGTAATTTTTAGGAGGGCACTTTGGAGAAATAATAATAAGAGCAAAACAACTAGTCTTACTGGTGACCAACACTGTTTTGCAGACACTGTGATAAATCATATCATAAGCACTTGACAAGTATGTTCTTTAATTCTCATGATGTTAGATACTCTCCCTTATGCCATTTTACGGGAGCTCTGGTAGCATAGTGCCTAAGGCACTTGACTGCTAACAAGAAGGCTGGCAGTTCAAACCCACCAGCCACTCCTCGGAAGGAAGGTTGAGCAACCTACTTCCGTAGTGATACCACCTCGGAAACCCAAGGAGGGGGTCACTGTGAGTCAGGGCCGACTTGACGGCACATAACAACAACAACAACATGCCATTTTACAGATGTAGAATAGCAAGCTCAGAAAGCTTACATAACTTTCCAGAGGCTTAGAATGAGAAATTATTGAATAGTTAACAAGCAGAAGACATTGCCCTCAGATCCACAGAAAAATGAAGCCATATAAACCAACTGCTCAATTCAACAATTGCTTTGATTATGCAAACTCACTCCTCACCCCAATCTTTGCTCTGTACTTCCCACAACCTCTCTCATTCCCACCCCATACTCACTTTCTCTGATTTCTAAAAAATGTGTTGGGAGGGGTGATGCTCAGGAATGATAATAAATTGTACATTCTTAGAGGAAAACAGCATGAGGGAATAGAATAAAAATAACAATGGTAACATTGTTTTCCCCAATCAGCTATTGCTATTCACCATAAATGATCTACATGCCTTAAAGGCTACCCATAGCACCAATGTTCAGATACTCAATGTTCAGACCTGTCTAGGAAAATTCACATAAATTTCTGCGACAGGTTCAAATTGGTGTGCACAGTAGATGACAAAATTAAGGAGGAGTACAAACTACCTATTAAATATTTTAATAGAACTAAAGAGTTTTCTTCCAACTAAAACAGGAAAGAAAATTCAAATTGTTTCTTTTTAAAGCTATTATTATAGTCTTGCATCGACATAATTAAGGTAAGCTGGAATTTTGTCACTAGGTAAATATTATTCTATGATATTAAAAGTTAAATATAAGCCAGTATTTAACTAGAAGCCATCTTCTCCTTATCTTATGCTCGTTGATTTCCTCAAGGCCAACTTCTCTTTGCTGCTCAGGTAAATTCAAACAGTGGCAGCATGTTTCAATGTTTATTAAAGTGCCTGTTTTTAAGGACCCTTTCTCAACACAAGATCAACTATCAAAAAGAGTCTGCCTTAAAAGCCTACTCTTCTAAAATTATGGAAAAATAAATACAGATTTTGTTTTGGAGTGATAACTATAATTTACAGTGGCTAATTACTTACATTTTAAGTGTTTAATTTTTTGCCTGTGTTATAGGACAAATTAAACAAAAAGGTGCTATTCTAAAATAATGTGTATGTATAGTTCTAAAAGCAGAATTACAATTCCTCCATTTTAATTCAATTTTACAATTTTATCTTTTCAAAGTCTAAATTTATGTGTGTAAGCCATGACCTAAGCAATCCCTTGTCTCCCCTGTCCCCCCACTAGAAGCACTATAAAGGCAAGTACTGGTGTCTTCCTTAGGCTCTTGCAGATTTTAGAGCCATCACTCTTGGCTCTCTTCCACCTCTTTCATCCTTCTAAGAATTGTCACCACTTTGCTTGTAACCTACTCTCAAATCAAATCTGTTACTGCCAAGTCCTTTCCTACTTCCCTTATGTAGTTCTGCTAAAAAGTTCTATTTGTTCCCTCCTACATTAGAAGCTGCCTTTTGGCATCACTGGAAGAGGGGCTTTGTGTTCTGTGTACATCTTTGAAAACTACCTTCTAACCTAAAACTGAGATCTAGTGTATGCTTCCAGGGAAGTGTTATGGAAATGATTTCTAAAACACATAGTGTTCTTTCCTGTACCCTAACCATATATGTTAACAGACTGAGAGTAGCAAGTGGCTGATTATCTTAAATAATCTGTTAAGATGTTACATGAAGAAGTGAATTTAATTGAATTGCTATGGATTACTGTGTCTTCATGCACATATCGTGAATGTAGTATCTTGTACCTATCTTTCACTATCCAAAATTCTTTTGTGAAATTGTATTTTCAAGCATGCCTTCTGCATAAAGGGAAGCATTATGGTGCAGTGGCAGATGTCAAAGACAGATGTCAAAGATTTCATCAATGAAAGAAAACTAAACCATTTCTGAAATTGTGTTTGAATACCAAAAAATTACTCAAATATTCTACAAACATAAAACTGTGCCTTTTGGTTCCGCAGTGACTGTTAACTTTTCATCTGTCTCTCCCCATATGTTGGGTAAGAAAAAAAAAAAGAAATCAAGAGAATTTAAGTACTTTTTCAAAAGAGAGAAATTGATAATGTTGGGTATAGAAAGGAAAAACCATAAACATAATTCTTACCACTGATTGCATGTGAAAGGATATGTTTATATGTTTAGCAACACTGATAGTGAATTTATTAACTTGATAACAAATGCATCGAGAAAGAAAAAGATATATTTTAATATTATTTTCATGGCATAGTGCCTAAGGCATACCAGAAGGTTGGTGGTTCAAACCCACCAGCCACTCTGTGGAAGGAAGACTGGACAATCTACTTCCATGAAGATTTACTGCCTTGGAAACCTAAAGGGAGTCACTATGAGTAGGAATTGACTCAATGGCAGTGAGTTTGGTGTTTTGGGTACCTTTAGTTATTTTGTGAAATTCTGATTATTAAACCTTTTTATTATGAAGGATATTTATAGTAATACTTGAAATAGATATTGAGGACATACATTGATCCTGTCATGAAAATAGTGTTGATTATTAATTTAGATTCTTTGTTGTGGGAGGCAAAGTGGCATCTTCAAAATAGATGCTGTTTCCCAAGCCAAAAGTACAAACATCTTAAATGGATAGCCAATAATTTTGCTCTGGACAAGAAAGTAAATTGGTATCATAATGATCACCCTAACTTTCAGTGAACATAGAACTTACCAACACTTGAATTCATGTCTCCATTCTCAGAATCTGCTCCATGTTGGTTATTACTAGCATGATAGTTGCTCATAGCTTCTAACTTGATTTTTTTCACCTTCATTGCTTCGGCAATGGCTGCATTGGTAGCAGCAGCAGCTGCTGCAGCTGCTGCTGTCAAACCTTAAAAAGAATAAATTAAAAATTAAACAATTCACATTCTGATTCTTCACGCAGTTTATATACACACATACAAACATATATTAGAGTATCTGATTCCAATATTCAACCCTCTGATAATATGTGATTCTGATCCCCAACTATGCAATGAAACAATATTGATATAATGGACAGACTGCTCCCTAAACTCCCAAATTAAATATTAGCAAACACACAATTCATACCTAGAAGGATAGTGGTGGAAATGCAGTCAGTATTATGTTTCAAAGAAACCAATGTGAACATGTCATTCCCTGCCTACAGGGGGGTGGGGGTGTTGGACTGAATTTAGTTTAATCCAGAACACTTTTTACTAACTACCTTATTGTAAATCACCCAAGTTCATTATTCTCCTGCCATATTCCAGCAATGCTGAACATGCTACCGTTACCCATTCTTGCCCTTCCATTTCAAGTCAGTGCTTTTGTCCATGAAATTTCCTTTGTTTGGAATGTCCTTGCCCCATGACTCACTTTCCTGTCTTCTCATCTCCCAGCAAAATTCTACTCATGTTTAAGAGTCTTATCACCCTAACTAGTTCCACATCTTTTCTTCTTCCACTGGACCACTGGACTACTCAAGCCAAGGACCTTGTATTGCTAAACAGTTTGGTATCCCTGCGTTCAAAGTGGTCAAGAAAAACAATAATAGCTACCTTTCACTTCTACTTACTAAATATTAAT